TTCACGTAACTCTCATTCTCCACGACAACTTGTTCGGGCTCATCTTCCTCCTCCTCTTCTGCCACCTCTTCTTCCTCCTGAGGCTCCGTCACTGTTGAGGCTGGAAACAAAGAACATACAGTAGGTGTTCTTACTATGAATCTATGTGACCCCATCAGCACTGCAGAGAAAAGACATACTTTCTAGGAGCATTTTCAATAAAGAACCTTGCCAGGAAGGAGATGAGGATCTACAGGACAGTTTTTCACACACATTTAGTTCAAAACTACCAGCAAAGCTCCCCTCACCCTGTCAAACAAAGCACAGCTTCTCCAGCCCCATCCCATTTGTCACTACACCTGCACCAGCCCCGCTCTGCAGCGCCAAGGTCTGGGTGGCTGTGTGGTGAACCTGACCGGCAGCGTTTTGCCTTCCTGAGTGTTTTTCATCCACAGCAGCTCCCCCTCCAATTAACTGCATGACCACTTATATGCAGCACAAGGCTGTGATGGCAACAGCAGCCTAAACTAATTAAAACTACACTTTAAGTGATAGGCCACTGCCAAGGACTTTCAAACCAAGGCTGAAACTGGACCAGACACTTTAGTTCCTACTGCCTATCGAATTTCTATTTTTCTGTGGAGCTGTTAAAAAAAAAAAAAAAAAAGGAATAATCTGTTTTCATGATTCAGGTGCTCTAAAATGTGATGCTATTATTCTTGCAAGCTCCCTTTAAGAAAGATTGCCTTAGATAAAACAGCTTTGGAATTGACAGCTAGGTCATCCATGCTATGAAGTTTTTTTTCAGCCTGCCACAAACGACAGAGGGCTGCAACTCTGCCCCTGAAATAATAATAATAAAAAAAAAGGTACCAAGAAAACCAACACAGACTTCTTTGTGACATTTACTCAGCCTTACATCCCAATTTACAAAATTAATTGTGAGGAAGGGTTGGTAATTGTATTTTTTCTTCTAAAAAGATATTTCTGAATCAGTGAGAACCGATGCACAAAAGCTTGTAAACAACCTGCCCCATTCCCTTCCAAACACACACCGGGCCAGTTTTGGTGAGCTCACATCCCATCTCTCAATGGCTTTTTATCAAGTGTGTGGGAACAGGCCTCGTTCACTCTGCCAGCCTGAAGTCATTTACTTCTACACTCCTTTAGCTCACTTCTTGCCAACAGAAAACCCTTCTGCTGCGGCTTTATTAAGAAAGGGACTTCCTGCAGCACAGGCAGATTATAGATCTGGCTCACCACATGACCTTAATTCCAGAAATAGATGTGGAAGAGGCGCCTGATTCTTCTCCTTGCCTTCTCTTTTTTTTTTTTTTTAAACCCAGAACCCCTAGAGGGAAATTTGGTGTACCTTCTGATATTTGGTTTGAGGCAGACGTACTCTCTGTGTGTAGCTTTCCTGGAGGCATTGCCAGCAGGGACACTGGAGGAAGGCTGTATTTGTGGTGAGTCTTTTCGAGTAACTCGCTTATTTCAGATTCATCTTCTAAGCAAGTCACCAGCGCGTACACCACTGGTTCGTGAGCCTCTGCAGCTATCAAGGCCTTCCCAAAAAGGAATTCAGCAATGTGCAACCGACAGGCAAGAGGTAGATTCTCATCAGTGGAATAAAATGCCACAAGAGGTGCCTGCAGCGGGTACTTGTTTTCTTCAGGAAATCTTACTTCAAGTTCATATACGGGACCATCACTGTTAGTTCTGAGATGAGAATCATCTACAGAGTTCTTGGCTGATCTCAGCGGGTGGTTTGGAGGGAGTTCATGTCCAAATCTGCATTTTGAACCAAACTTGCAGCCTCCTTGGAGATAAAATTTACATATTTCTTTTGAAGCCTGCTTTGCACCGTCCCTAGTACAACCACCCTTTTGTTTTGATTTGCTGAGCCTGTTCGTTAGGTATTCCAGTTCCAATCCAAAAGTCCAAACTCTGTTCTGAATTCTTTCTACAAATTTTTCTCCATAGATTGACCGGAGGACAAACGCCTCTTCTTGTCTCTGTTCTAAACATTCTTCTCGACTGGCCTGAGCAGCTGCTTCAGAAACCTGCATCTTCTCTCCATATCTCTCAGCAAAGCACTGCAGCAGCAAATGCTCCAAGGACGCCCCAATATTACCATTGCAGGATCTCAGTATGGTCCTACAACGCTCACTGTCAAAACCGTACCTGCAACAAAACAGAGACAATGTGGCAACAAGTGAGTGACAGGCTACGAAACAAAATAACCACAGATCTGCTTGACTAGGCTGGCAGTAAGGAAGCATGTTGAGGCATGAGATCCATTGCTACTACTGAAAAAAACAAAACTCCCGCTGTCTGTCGTTTATAAGGTAATAAATTAGTTTATGGGGCTACTGTCTCACAGCTCAGAATGTAGCACGTAGCAGTTCCAGGACTGTATTTCCCACTTGAACTGTATAAATAAAGCTCCTCAGAAAAAAACTGAGTCCTCTCACATAGAAAATGCTCCCAAACAAAGAAAAAATAGTTAATAAATGTTTGTATGTCAGCAAAATTGATGAAGAAAGATTACAAATTTTCCCAATTATACCTATCTGAAGAAATATATAACAGCAATGATTCCTAAGCTTTCCCTGTTTCGTGATCTTAAAGAATTAAAAAAAAAAAAAAAAAAACAGTGTAAAAATAAGAATGATTTATTTTCATAAAACCATTATTTCAAGTTCACCCAGTTGAGGATCAAATTTGCAGGAAATACAAGCCTAGCAGTTCAGCACACAGAATTTCTCTGGAGTCAAGTGGAGTTCCAAGCACTGAGGGCTTCCAGTGCTGAGACTAACAATTTACCTCTTTGGGATATAAGTTATTCACTGAAAGGACTCACCTGGAGAGTTTGTGCACAGCAAATGCAGACACTTCACTTTCTACAATTTTGTGCTCAGCTGCCTCAGCAGAAGACCTTGGCGTTACGTAAGAAACTTCCTGATCTGTTGACCAGCACTGTTCATCATCAAGGTAATCAGGTTCATCATCGTCTTCTCCAGAACCAGCTACTCTGATAAAAAAGAGGTATCAAATTAAAATGAAATAAAATAAAATTATATTGCTGAATAGATAAAAAATTTTTCCCCTGTAATTTTAAATCCTCCACTCAAATGGGGAGTTCTACCATCTCTTTCCCACAGCTAATATTGTAGAGGAACAGAGTGGACTTGAAATCACAGGATTTGAGAAAAAATTAAAAGTTAAGGGGTAAAAAAAGATCACTTTTTATTTCTAATAGCATGCCTATTAAAGCATCTAGAAGTGCCTCTGTTTAAACTAACTCTGATTCAGGAGCCAGATCCTGCCCTTGAAGCTCCCGAAGAAGTTCCTTCACTCTTCTCTGATTCTCTGTTGTCATGTGTATGGTCTGCAGAGGCATCTTGGCTTCAGGTCGCTGTTTCGTTTGCCCTCCTCTCCTAGCAGAGGCACTTGATCTGAAAATTAAAATTAAAACAGAACACAGCAATGAGTTATTTGCCTGGCTCAAAGGATGCTTACTGAACAGGTACGTGAAGCTGAACATTAGGATCCAACTCTGTGTTTCAAAGCAGGAAAAGGAAAACAGGACACTTTTATCTCCTAAGGAGTGTTCATCTGGGTTAAATCTTACACAACCAGCATGTGCACAGCCGTGGCTGTGCACAAACAGATGCGTATATGGATTTTATCTTATGTCACATGCAAAGTAATTTAGTAAACACTTTGCGAGGTCATGCTGTTCTCAGACTAAGTACAGCCAGGTATTTCTAAGCTACATTGGTCACAATACATTCTGGATACCAAATTAATTTTAATTGTTCAGCTTCTTCTTTGGAATACAAAGAAATGAATATCCCATGTCTATTACTGCCTTCTGATAAAACAAGTTTTGAAATCTTTTAATGGGCAAATAAGAAAATCAGAGCTTCAAATCTTTTTTTTTTTTTTTTTTTTAAAAAAAAGAGCTTTCCCAGCTATAAAATGTTAAAAACTTAATCAAAAGATGCATGCAAAAATTGCTTCATGCTGAAACAGCTTCAGCATCCCTTCCCTGTTCTGCATATTCAAACACAGCCAAAACAGTCCCAAAATATCCTGAAAACCTCTGTATTTCAAAACCTGCAAATTAATGAAAGACCTGTTTTCCAGCCTTGGTTCCTCGAACAGACAGAAATCATCTCCATCATCCCAGATTTTGGTTGAACACTTCCTATTTCCACCAAGTTGACTCTTGTTTGAATGGCCACCGCTGCTTCCTCCTCTCCCTCTTCCTCCTCCCCCTCTTCCTTTTCCTCCTCCTCCTCCTCCTCTCCCTCTTCCTCCTCCTCTGTTGGGCTTTCCTCTTCTCTTTGCTGCTGAACTCATGTTCTCCTGCTGAGGACGAGAAAAAGATATGATTTAGCATGTCATAACCGAGTACACATCATTTGATCTTCCATGTTTGAGCACAGCCGTTCTCAAACCACACTTAACCACCTTTATGCTCAGGTATCTGTATGCACCCGAAGCAACGCCCATTCCTCCAGAACAAGTGGTTTTAGAAAACAAAAGGGATCCTAATCGTTCTCACAGCTGGTCTAAAAAATACAGAGGAGCCTACCAGCAGCGCTGCCTACCCCTGGCGCTCAGGTTATGTCACTCCGATGGCATTTCCTCGGACACGGCAGTGCAAAGGGCAAACCTTGAGGGGATCCTCCACAGCAGAGAGCAGCCTGTGCCCGGGTACCCTTCAACCTGGCCGCTGGGAGAGGGATCCTGAAGGGAATCTGAAGGGAAGGGTGGGATGGGGCTGGTCCTTAGGGTCCCCTCCAGCCCCAACCACCCCGCGCCTCCCCCAGAGCGGTGTCAGGGCAGCTCCGCGCCCTGTGGCAGGGGCTCGCCCCCAGCTCCCCAACCCCTCAGCCCCCGTTCCCCTGCCCCTGTCTCCCCCCCAAAAAAAATTCCTCTCCTCTCCTCACCGCCCCGCCGCCGCTGCCCTGCCCTGGAAGCGCCGCCTTCCCCTTCCGGGTTGCCGGCCCCCTAGCAACGGCGGACACTTCCGCATAGCAACCATGGAGGGTACCCCCACCCCCCCCCCCCCCCAATAAATAAATAAATAAATAATAATAAATAATGATAACAGCCCCTAAACAAGCACATTGAGATCAGCTTGCTAATTCACACTGATGGGGAAAGTTGGGGTGTCAGCTAACTGCAGTGACACATTTTTATTTTTTCTCTTTCTCAACAGGTGCTGCGTTTTTTAAAGTGTCTTTCACGTTCCCAAACAAAGACAAGTATGGTAAGGATCCCTCGCCCCGCAGCGAATTCCTTTTGTCACCCTGCGTGGGGATTTTCAACCCGCAGGGGATGTGTGGGGAGAAATCTGCGCGCTGTCGGCGTGAGGGCTGCACGGACGGCAGGTCGCCCAAAGCTGCCTCTCCCTGTCCACTACACACCGCGGCAGGAGCTGACCTGGCTCCAGGTTGTTTACATAAATAAAAATTCCGAGCAAACCCCTGGAATGGTCCAATGGGGTCTGCTCTGCCCCGTGTCAGCTCCCCGCTGGTGGTGGTGGGGGAATTGCCACAGGCTGCTGCCAGCTGGTGCCCACCGCAGGTGCCTTACTCACCCCAACAGACCACCTCTGGGAACAATCTGTCTGCAAGAGATGCAAGAAATGCCCTCTGGGATCTTTTTTTTTTTTTTTGGTCTCAAATGATATTTTGAATTCAAAATACCTGCCTTGTTTCCTAGAAGGGGAGTGCAAAAAGACACCCGAGGGCAAACTCCAGAGGAATGGGCATGGAGTTCACACCAGCGCCAACGGAATGATATATATAGGTACCTGGAAGAACGACAAGGTAATTTTAAGGATTCCTTCATTTCAAACTTTGTCTGGGCTTAGCATGGTGTGTGTCTTACCATACCCACCCTTAGATGCATGGAAAAGAAAGCCATTACCTGAAAAGAATCAGATCAACACCAGGCTCTTCTTCCACTAGGGCGTCTTGTCCCAAGCTAGCCTGAAGACTTCAGATGTTCGTGGTGTGGGGACATCTGCTGCATCCTGAGGCTTCTACAAATACACTGGGCACTGCTGGCCCTCGTGAAACACTTGGGCAGCATGGCAGTAGCAGTGCCGTATGTGGATGGGCTGGGTGCGCATAGCTGGTTGAGCACAGCCTTTCTGCTTGTGTATATGCACCCCACACACCTCCCTCAACCAAACAGGGGAGCTCTGGCCATCAATAGATATGCCACTAAATAGTGGCTGCCCTTGGTTACTGAGTTCACCGGGAATTAATTGTTAAGTACATAAAAAAACACTTGTTTTGTTGATTCTGGAGACATCCCTGAAACGAGACAAATAAAGGCCTGCAATTAAGAAATAGCATCTTGTGGCTTTTTGATATCTAGTCTGTGCTTTTCTCATTCTCATACAAAAATATTTGTGCAGCAACAACAATTAAGATTATGGTACAAAAATGATTTACAGCACAGATTTAAACCCCCAGACATGGTTTAGTCTGAAACGAATGAAAGATTTGCAATGCCTTGATCCACAGAAAGAAATTCCAGAAAATTTAATTAACCCCTCAGGTTGTCAGGGTAGATGAGTTATTTGTAGGGCTGAGGACAGCAGTTCCCTGTTGCACAGATTGTAAAGATCCTGTGAGACTATCAGCAGAGGAAAGATTTATTAGATACCGTGACTGGTCAGAAACTCCAAGCTGTTATCTAAAATCCTTGCAGACGTAGGAACCTGTCTAAATCTGAAAAAGAGTCACTGTCCTCTCCTCTTATCTGAATAAGATAGCAGACTCAGAGGCAGCAATCTGAAAAGATACTGTAATGGAAGGAAATATACCATATGCATAAACATTAACCCTTTTCTTTATCCATCATCTCTCATTAAACACAGATGAATGGTACTGGAAGGCTGGAACATCCTTCTGGGGCAGTTTATGAAGGCGAGTTCAAAGACAACATGTTCCATGGGGCAGGAACCTACACTTTTCCAAGTGGAGCGAAGTACATTGGACCATTCAATGAAAACAAGTATGTTTGAAGCTGAAGAGTTCTGTAGTTGTTTTGTGTTTTTTTTTTTGTTTTTTTTTTTTTTGCTGTTTTTCTTTTTTTACAAAATATTTTACAAAAAATGTAGTTTTGATTTGATAAGGCATGACCAAATAAAATTCACCCAACATGGGAGTGGGTTTCTTTTGCTACCAGGGAAACTTGCACTGGGTATCTGAAATTGCTGATTCTAGTTGTATCCATCTCATCAGATCAGTTAAAAGCCACTGATTCAATCCCAGTCAGAAGTTTTCAAGGTGGTTGTTCCACTCACCCACTTGTTTTTGTGTTAGCAGGTCTCTGGGCTCAGGCAGAGTTAAGAAGAAGAGAACAGTTCAGATAGATTTCAGAATTTTTTCAAGCCTACAGACATGCAGAAATACAGCACTGATTTGCACTGATAGTTTGCAAAGTTTTTTACTTACTGTTGAGGTACAAATTCTGTAGAGAAAATGCAGAGGTTTATTTTTATCATGCAGAATAAAATATTTTGGTGCCACTCATACAAAACAACAACTAGGCTGATTTTGTTTAAATAAGGGTGTTTTGAATTGCTAAGACACCATCTTTTCCTAAAGCAAGAAGTCAATACCCACTTCATAATTCACAAATCAGATCTAATGAGAAAAATAACTGTAAAAACTCACGTAAGAACGTTCACATTCATTTTCCTTAAAAATTCTCTGTCAAATTTCCTATGTTTATTTCTTCATTAAGTACCACCACAGTCCAGTATCTGAAATAAATCAAAAATATATACGTGCAATCAATATGTGGTCTTTCATCACAAAACATCCCTGCCTTGCTGCTGACCAAAAAGAACAGCTGTAATAGTAGAAATATGACCAATTCTGTTTTTAACTAATTATGCACCAAAAGAAGCATTAGGAAAATGTACCTGAATGCAAAATATTAACCTGTATATTAAACTCAAAGAGGGGGAATTTAAAACATTATACACTAGTACAGTGGCACGTTAAAATCTGCCACAAGGCTGCTGTCCTTTGCTGTCATGCTGAATGTCAAATGTGAATTTGGCGTGAAGTCTAAAACTGTGAATACTCATCACTGGAGTGAGGGCATTCAGCAATAGATCACGTACACAGCTTTTACTTTATTGGTGTTTCCTTTCAAAAATCTTAGGGTGATGCCTCTGCTCCCATGGGAAGAGGGGCCAGCATGGTGCTCATCACTGGCAGCTGATAGCCTTGATTCAAACTAAAATCAAACTCTCCTAATTAGTAGGAGAGACCCAATCTTTGTTTGCCACTGCCATTTTCACCAGGAAATTAAGACTTTTCCTTTTTGACACTGTTTTGTGCTTGTTAATACACGCTGCTCCCTGACAGCCCAACGCAGGCTATTTTGCCCAGTTTGGGGGCTGCTGGTTTTCACCTACTCACACAAGCTGGGTGTCTGCTCACCAGATCACTGCAGCTTTTATGAGAGAACACAAATAGGCAGCAGCACCACGGTAACTCACTGTGACTGCTAGGTGCCTTCATTTTTTAAGGGAAACATCTCCAGTAATTGGTTTTGGAAGTTATTTTCCCCTCATTTGCAAGGGATGCTGATACATACATTTCTTCTGTATAGCAGTTTCCAGGTTTAACGATGAACTCGATCACAGCTTTCAAAGATCAGCAGAAACACATGGTTTATGGAGGACTCAGTTCACGTGGCAGTTACTTTTTTTCCCCACTGGAGGCTGTAAATCCTTGCACTTTGTCCTAACAGTAGAAAAGGATGGGGAAAGGGTGAGGCAGGATGAATTTTTACAGCAAGATCAACACAGGGAATTGCTGCAGACACCTACACATCTTTAGGATGTCCCTCAAGGAAGTCAGGATCAACGTGATGGGACTTAATCTCTGATTACTTCAAATCACAACCAGATCTACAAAGTTTTTCCTGTGCAGGCTACGTGCTAGCAGGATGTTAGAGTAAACACACTTCTGCACAGGAAGGCGTATGTTATTTGGCTGTCTACGCCACGTGCTTCGTAATTCTTCTTAGCTTTTATAAGCTACCATGTGGGAGAAAGTTAAAGCAGGTACTTGGTCTGGATCAGGAAGGTTTTGACTCCTGGCACTTTCCTTATCCAGCTTGCACACACATCGCTGTGCTTGCACAAACTGATCACGTTCTTTATTAACAGGCTGGATTCATGTTGTTACAGGATGGAAGGCGAAGGAGACTTTATAGATGAAAACGGAGTGGTGTGGACTGGCACTTTCAGTGGCTCAGCAGCAGTGGGACTGAAGCAGAAGCTGAGAATGTAGCTCTTCGGTCCTGACAGCAGCATGAGTCAAGGGCAGCCCTGGGATCACACTCTGGGTTCACCAGCTGCGATGAGTTTTCAATAGGCATTGATTTCTTCATGTATTTATTAAAAATAACCCCTGAGGATGGATGTCACTGGTAAATAAAATAAAGTTGCTTTTATTTTCAGATTAATTGGTTGAAGTCTCCTAAGTAAAAACCTTAAAGAAAAGGGGTTGGAAAGGGTGAATTTATAGGTGGAAAAGTTAAATGTATAGAATTCCTTTTTGTTTTAACCTCAACTAGGAATTTCTTTCTCCCTGGGTTTCAAAAAAAGCCACAAACAAACCAACATCATCAACAAATGAAGCCTAATTTATGCTCAGTTTCTGTAACTTTCTCCAGAAAACAAACATCCACACCCACAAAAGCTTTTGCAAACACAGTGCTGATGTTTGGACTGGGCCTGGCATTCCACAGTGGGGTCAGGACGGAGAGCAAGTGCACCTACAGCATGGCAATCACTCCTCCCAGGTAAAGCCCATAAACCCCCGGCTCCAGCAGCAGACTGCTCAAAGACATGCGCCAAACCTACTTTCCTCTGGGAGGGAAGTGGACAGGTGAGCACACAGGGGAAGCTGTTCACTGTCACCATTCCTATCGGAAGGTTTAATGCAATAATAAATTTATCTCCCTTTTTGTCTGGGTTTGTACCTCAAACATCTCTTTTCACTCTGAATCTAATGAATAGCAGGAAAAGTGCTTTCTAGTTTACAAAAAAATAAAAAAAAGGCAACACACCAGCTTCATGAGGAAAAAAATATGTTGAGTCTTTGTTTGCCAGATGTTTAAAGGAGTTTTAGTAAATACCTGCCCTTGCCTTCTTTTGTGACCACAGTGTACAAATTGGTACTCTTTCAGATGTGTCTTCAAATACTCAGCGTATTTTGGTATGATTTGGAAAAATCCTGGGCTCTTTGGTTTCTTATTAAAATGAAAAAAACAGCACGTTATCAGCACACTGAAACACAAACTGCTCACTGATCATTTGGCAACATAACTCCTTGGGTTATATTCACAGGTATTCCTCTTCAGAATTACCATTTTGTTTTGCTCAAGTTTGTTGTGTTTTGCTCCCTAAATAGCCAGGTCCAAAATAGAAATACAGCATCCCTGTCCCTAGTGCTCAATTTCAGGGGTAGCAGCATCTTCACAGAGCTTCCATTAACCTGCAAGTCTGTCCTTTCAGCTCCTTAGCAAGGACTCCACATCACCTCCTTTTATCTGTGCTGCACTGTAATTATACTGATTTAGGCGTTGCGGTTTTACATTTTAGGTTTTCTGCCTGAAGGGTATCTTTGATGCTGATATTTGTCTTTCAGTAAGAACTTATCCTTCCTTTTGCTACTGTTCTTCCTCATTTATGCCTCCCTGCTCTTCTGCTCCGGAGTAACTCACTGGACTAGCTCAAACCTTTTCCTGGCACTCTGGCCATGGGCTACCTGTTTTCTGCCTGTGTTTTCTTGATGCCATTTGGTGCAAAAAGCCCTGCAGGAACTTGGTGATGAAGTGAAGCAGACATCAAGGGCTGCTGCTTCACACTCTACCACCTTCCTCAAACCCCTTATTTTTTTTTCTGAAAGGAATTTTTCAGGATCTACCAAGAAACAGAAAATACCCAAGTGCTGGTGGTTCCTGCTCCCCTGCCTTGGCTACTTTGGCTGCCTTGCTCTGAGCCCTGAACGAGAAAGCGCAAAAGCAAGAAGCCCTCTTGGCCCTGGCATCCTTAATGAGGCCACGCAGGACAGGAGACTGAGGTTGTCAAAGAAGACGGGGAGGAGCCGGTCCCGTGTCCCTGCCCCAACTGCTGGCTGCCTCGTTTGGGTGCCACGGGAGGTATTTAACAGCCTCAGAGCTCGGCGAGGTAGCACAGACCATGCCAGCACCCGGCTCGCACTGTATGGCCCCCTCCACCCATCACCTCCCGAGGCTTCTCGCTCCCTTCACAGCAGCGTGCCATTCTAATTAAAAGAGAAAAGAATCAGTATCTTCTCCTTCCAAGTGCCTAATTTTTGCATGGGGATGCAAGGATGTGACCCGAAGATTACATAATTAGAAGGCATTTGTTATGCTTGCGTTTCAAATCAGTGATTAGCATGTGACAGTCCCGTCCTGGGAAACGCCAAGCCACCGTTGCTCTCCTCTCTCTCCTTCCTTGCACACTGCTAATTCCCAACTCTGGCAACCGCCAGCGCTGAAGGCTCTTCAACTAGCCTGGGGTAAGTTTAAAATGTACTCAGCATGAGATGAAGTGTGGGATTAATAATGCCAGTTTCCTATTATTGGAAAAAGCTTGAGCTGGAGGTATTTCATGTCGCATGTGCAGCATGTAAAATGGTATTTAAAGTATTTTCCATCTTCAGTGCCCAGTTATTTCCAGCTGATTTCTTCTAAGACTGTGAATGGAGATCTCGCTTCATAGTGTGCTGGAGAATCTTGTGAGGATGCATTTAGAGTAAGGGCTCTAGAGAGGCTGAAAGGACCTGTTTTGCTTTTACTGTTTAAAGAGCTAAATTGAGGTCTCTTGCTAGACTGAAGTATTTGGATGATAATAATTGCGTTAGAATTAGCTGGAGGCAAAGCATGAGACTGAAAAGAGTATCAATGATTATTTTTTTTTGCTCTCTTAGAGGACTGGAGGTGTTCTTCAAGTGGGCTATTTAGAACAGATAGCAATCTCAGCCAGGAGAATTGTGAAACAGTCACCAGGAAGATCCTAAGCATTTGTTTAGGAAGACTGTGGATGTTTAACAACTTCTACAGAAGCAGCAAAAGTGCATAGGGATTCTCCTGCATTGTTCCCCAATTCTTGATTTTGAGAACAGGACAGAAAGCCAAAGGAAGAACTGTTATCCCTCGGGCTAGGCTGTAAATGCTTTACCTAACTTAGACTGTTTGCATGCTGATGCTTGGGGTATTTCAGTCATTTTAGCAAGTGATCCTATCTACAGTTGATTATTTCTGCCATTCATTCCACGTGAGGGTCCAAGGCAGACTGCTAACGTGGCTGCTTGTCAGCAAGGAAAGTGTCCCGTGGTGGGCTGGCACAACAGGCAAAGCCTGGACTTGCTGTGGGAAGAGGAAACAGACTCACAGAGGGCACGCAGGGCTTGCTCTCGCTGCTAATGTGCAGATGTATTCATGTAGGTGCATATGGGAAGGGGTTATAGGAGTGGGGCTTGCTCAGTATTGAAAAAAAAACAAGGTGAAGACTGAGGGGTGCCTCCTGCTGCTTTTAATTGCCTTGAGGGGGTTATAAAGGAGACGGAGTCCAGATTCATCCCAGAGCCACACAGTGAAAGGACACAAGGCAATGGGCACAAGCTGCAGCCAGGGGAAACATCCCAGTTGGGCACAAGGAATGAATGTTCTTCCCCAGGGTGCTGGATGACCCAGAGAGGCTGTGAGGACTCTTGTGTAGGACTTATTCAAACCTGGACGCAGCCCTGAGCCACCTGGCTCAGAGTTACACGGGTCCCTGCTCACCTAGACCCTGCTGTGAGCTTATTCCTTCAGTTCCCTGCTGGCAGAGGCAGGATTCGAGCAAGCAGCCCGCACCCAGGGCCTCAGGGCTGAACACCAGTCCTATTTTCCACCCCCTTTTGTCACCCTCGAGGAAAAAGCAAAACTGTTCAGCAAAACTCTTGTCCTAACAGCTTCCTCACCTGGCAGTCAGCAGGACAAGAGGCCGAGCACTCGCTCCAAACCACAGAGAGGTTTTGTTTTAGCTCTGAGGAAGGACTGCCTACTTTTCCTCCATATATTCAGCAATTCAACAGAACCAGGGGCAGACAGGCAGTGTTATATATTCGTGGAGTCCAGCAGGGAGTCCTAAACGCTGGAAAACATCCAACATAATGCATTTATTTAACGTAACTAAGAGCAGTACGGTGACTCAGGAAATTGCGGGCTGCAGCTAAAGGACACGCGAAAGACAGCCTTTCTGGTAAAACAGGGAACATCTTCTGGACCCACTTCACCAAGGTCAACCTACTTTGCGGTGCAGACACACAGCAGAGCTCCTGGTGGTGCCTGGAGCAGGAGGGGATGGCGGCATCCCTGGTGCCCCAGTTTCAAAGCCTCACTCCTGAGCTCTGCAAATGACAGAGACTGGGCTCAAGCATTGTCCTTGTCTGAAGGAGCGTGACGTGGAAGCTCCTCACTGTGGGTCTTGCTGTATGGGAACTGTTTGCAGTTCCCTCTATAAGGAAAAATTTCTGCAGATACCAGGAAACCCCAGTGTTTTTACAACCCAGGAGATAAGATGCGTAAGGGTCCCCCTCCCAGTCCTATGTGACTGAGAACAGAAGATAGGGAACAGGACAGTGACATGTCCTCATAAGAGCCCTTCTACAAGCATTACGTTTCCCTAATTAAAATCCCAGCTAGGTTATTCTTCATATCAGACATACCTCTTTTTTTTTGTACTGGATCCAAGAGGTTGCAGGGTATTTATTACCTGTAGCACAGCAGCGGGGGCGCCTCCTGTGAGTTTCCCTTCCTTACGTGCACTGTCCCTCATGACAACTGCAAGTTTCCTTGTGTTACTGGAGGGCAACCACGGATGCTCCTCGGACAGCATCCTTCACGCTGTGGGGCTGATGGCACAGCTCCGAGCGATGTGCTGGGCAGGGGGGCTGCAGAAGCAGGACCTAGACAGAGACACGAGTGTTTTGAGGTCTCAGATGCCTGTGAGGAGGTGGTCTGAGAGAGAAAGCTCATGGAGCATGGTAGAACAGATTCATGCTTTAATTCTGGCTTTTCCTCACCTCGGGTGCCTGACATTGCAACTTGTTTATATGCACTTTCTTCATGCATCAGAGTCCCCTGGCTGCCCTATTTAGGGGACTGCAGTATGGATTACAGGTCTCCTTTTTGTGTGTTCGGATGTATATGTGTATGCATACATGTATATATCCCATGCGCTGATATTTTCCTTCAGTTTCACCCTTCTTCATCCTTTCCCAGCATGAAAGAAATGTTTTCTTTCCCTTCCGTGAGGAAACCAACATTCAAACCCAAACATACCTACGATGCTTGCTAAGCAAGCAGCTGGATAATGCTGTTCAGCAGCTGAGGGCTGAAGCTGCTGTTTCCCAGCTCAGACAGCTCTGCTCTTCCAGCACAGCTCAACAAACATCTGCCTCTCCAACCCGGAAGCATTACGAGCTGCTGCTCTCCTGCTTCCAAAATGCTGTGCTTTCACACCAGATGCTCTTGCTGCTGGAAGGGTACACCCCACAATGCTTCAGCAAGCGGACAGTAAAATTATAAAATATCTACGACAGGCTATGCAGCTGATATACTCGGATATTCATGTAATTAATTCCATACTAATTGATGGTTATTAACAATTAACTACTACATGGTGGTATATTGCTAGCCTCAGGACTTTGCCATGACATTGACTAGTCTACACTGGGAACAAAGTTTAACAACTTTGCTACTAAACAAACTGCTACTGAGGTGAAGTTAAAAGAATGTTTTAACATTTAAGAGACCCAAACTTTTGTAACCTTTTCCTCAAGACTACTAAAGGATGTGTGAGCTACTTTAAAAACAGCAGCATATTTATTTGTTTCAGAACCAAATAACATTCTTACCATCCTTAGAGTACCTAAAAATATATATACATATATATTTTTCCCACTAAAGAGGGCTGGAGCACATAGCACAGGAGAAGTTGATGGAGCTGGGTTTATTCAGCTTGGGAAAGGGAAGGCTGGAGGGTCCTACTGCCATCAGCAACTACTTGTAACAGAGGAGACAGACTGGCTTTTCTCACGGACACAATGAAAGGACAAATTGCCATGGGTACAAGCTGCAGAAAGGGAAAACTTGGCCAGAAAGAAAAAAAATATCTTCCCCAGGGGAGCAGTGCTGCCCTGGGACAGGCCCAGAAAGGTTGTGAGGTCTCCATCCTCGGAGATGCTCCAGCTATGACTTGACATGGCTCTGATCAACCCGATCTAGCTTTGGGGCCAGCCTTGCTCTGAGCAGGGAGTCAGGGGACTCCATCTGAGCTCTGTCATGAGCCTAGAAGTCTTCAGAACCAAAAGATAATCTTTATGCTATCAGCTGATAGAAACCAGGTTTAATAAATTGGAACATTTACCTTACTGCAAACCAGGTGTCCACCTAGCAGCCTTCCCTGCCTGCCTCACAAAGCCCACAGCAGCACCCAAAGCCTGAAGTTCTGACCCTTCACCTTTGCTCAGGATTTCCAAACATGTCAGGAAAGGCTCCCCTGTCCTGAGAAGCAGCCCTCCTACAATTAAGCAGCTTATCCTTGCATTAATCCTCCATCTCAAGAAGATGCTAAACCTCAAGTCCCTCCAGTGCTACGCTTTCAGTCCTCATCATACCCTCAGAAAGAGAGGCCTTGGCTGCCACCAGAAATGACTGCTTCGGCAGCATTTCCTACAGCCTCCCAGAGCTTCTCTTGCATCTCTTGCACCTCTCCCACCCATTTAATGCTTCAATGCTTCGTGCCCTCCTCTGTGCTTGCTTCCCTGAAAGCACCACCCCAGGCTTCTCCAGACCACCGCAGCTGCCAGCAGAGCTCTGCCCCGTAACCAGTGGCCCCTCCAATCCCAACTCCCAACTGCCAGCACAGCCTTGGGCATATCCACGTCAAACGGGAACCCAGATGGGAGATTATTCCACACTCCTGTGCCACATCTGGTTTCCTAGTAAGGCTGGGCACAAGGCGACTCGCATTAAACCCTGGGGAGATGAAGTGTGGATGTGGGGCAGTGCCCATGCTCAGTCTGAGCTGGTACAATCCATTTTTCTGGGGCTCTGCCTGCATCACTCACCAGTCATTACCTTAAGACTGTTCCCAAGGTCCTAACCCCACTACCAGTCAGGGAGAAAAACGCCAGAGAAACCTGGCATGGCAGCACAATGCCCTCAAAAATGCAGCAGCACTGCAAAGGCGATAGCTCTGCAGCCCAAACCCAAACCTGGGGGTCATTTTGGGTGATCATTCACACCGCAAAAAGCTGGTTCTCTGATCTAGAGAACAAACATCCAGAAGGATGTTAATTTGCATCTTACTTTTTCAAATACATCTCGTTTTGCTTCTGTGGTCAAACAAGAAGCATCGTGCTGAGCGAGTAGTCTTACACAAGGCTTCAGTCACCATCCACATAAGCACAACTGGCCTTGGGCTGGGAGGGAGATGTTTGTACTGGCAGCCCAACCTGCTTGTGGAGGCACCGAACCCAAACAAACCTTTAGGATGCTTCGTTCCCTCTCACTTCCTTCTTCTTCTCATTTTCTGAATGTTGAGCATCTCTGCTCAGTAAATCCTTTCTGCATCTTTCTGCACTCAGGGTTCAGACCAGCTGACCCAGCGCAGGGCTCCCATGTGGGCAACTCTCAGCCATGGGATGTTCCCAGTGACCAGCCAGAACCCTCCAGAGTGAGGACAGGAGTCCCCGCAAGGACGCACACCCTATAGCAGCCATGGATTCAAACAAACAAGAAGGTAAAGCAACCTCTAATTTCACTTCTTGATAGTACCAAAGAGAGTTAGGAAGAAAGCTGCCCTCATAGAACATGTTGGCAGCCACCAACCAGCCCCACAAAAACACCTCTTAGCTGTGGCAACCTTGCAAGGGGTTCTTGCTCGTGTCAGTGCCACATCCCAGGCTTCTGAGGAACTCCCAAAGCTAACAAAGAGCAAAAGGAGCAGCCTTCAGGAGTGCCCACGACTGCCAGCTCAGAAGACAGAGCCTGGATCATCTCCAGGCTTCTTAAAAGATGCTTGGTGGTGCCAACATTCATTCATGGCATGGGTAACGGAAGAGTTAATTCCTCTATTATTATTCTTCTAATTGGACTAAATTAGGTCTGTGTACCTAGGCCCCTGCACTGTAGCAAGCTGAAAAGGAAATTAACTCAAGGATTTTTTTCCAATTAATTGACGTGCCCCCATGGGCTGCAGATGTTCACTGCAGAAATTGGGAGATAACCACAAAGCCCCCTGCTTCCCAGCTGTGAGGGAGCCATGCTCTGCTCCAGCTCGCGGCAGTGACTTTGCAGAGATGAGCTGGGTAGGGCTGGGTACACACAGAGAGGGCTTCTGCTCACACACACGGTAAAGGTGAGAAGTAAAAGCACAGCAGCAGAGTTCCTCTCCACTCTTCTGCCTTTTTCAGTTGCACTTTCCTGCTTTGAGTGTGTCTGAGGATGTTAGAGACTGATCCACCTCCAAAACCAAATGAAAGATCCCTGCAGACTTCTACAGGGCTGGCTTAAGCCCCCTGCATTATTTATTAGTTTGAAAACCACAAAGAAAATGAGATAAGAGAGAGCCCGTGCCCCTTCCTTGTTGTGCTACCTTTGCACCTGACACCTCTAATTCTTCACAAAGCAACCAATACGCCCACCATTTTGCAGAAAGAGCAGCTCCCTGTCCTCCATGCACCTGATTTGTATTGTGCTATTAATTAAGAAACACAGCCTCCTGATTTTTTGGGGTCAGTCATTACCACCCCCACAGCAAGACTCCAGCATTAACTTTTACATCAGAACAGACCCGTACCTTGGAGTCTTCTTACAGTAAGTACACTGGCTGCTTTCTCAAGCCCCAACTCCAGGAATCCAAAGAAAGTTTCATCATTCCCTTCAGGCCAAAAGTTGGTTTCCAGTTCATGAGGTTGCCTAAAACAAACAAACAACCAAAAAAAGAGCTGAAAACAGACCCTGAAGGGCCAAACTGTAAAATAAAAACAACTTGTCATTTAAAAGATGAACCTTGGCACTTGGTGAGAGCTGGCTGATCAGGTTTGACCCCAAACAGCCCAACCAACAGGCAATGCTGGTGATGGTTATTCCTCAATCAGCCTGCTGTCCCATTTTCCTCAGGAAGAACCTTGGGGAACATTCCCTGGAGGGTCAGTGCCTGACCCTATAACCAACCTCCATGGCTACAAGACTGACCGGCACAAGGAGCAAATGGCACATGAGCAGAAAGGGGCACACAGACTCTCCTCTGCCTCTCCCTTCCTCCAGTCACTAGGGAATTTGCTTACATTCCTCTGAATCAGGACAAATTCTAGAGACCAGAATAGGGCCAATGCATAGGTGCCCTTGGCAGTAACCCATATTCCCCCTCAGGGGCAAAGTAATCAGAACGTAGGTGTGCCTTGTAAAGCTCTTGACTTCCAGGCTTCAACTTTCCACTTCATGGAGTTACTAACCACTTAAAACCCTCCCTGCACCTATTTCAAGCCTCTGCAGGACCGAATTTCTGTGGTTTTGAGGGCCCAGGTGGGCAAGGCACTGAGCACTTGCAGCCAGCACGGGAAGAGGGAGCTTGGCTGCCCCAAAAATCAGGCACACTGGTGTTTGGCAGCAGAGAAGGGTGAAGGAAATTACTGGAGGCAAGAGAAAACTCACCTTGTGAACTGGTATTACTGAGGGGAGGCAATGCAGATGAGGAACCAGGTGGCATGGTATTGTCTGGGAGGTGAAGGCCAACAGAGTTTGACACAGGGAATAAAATGGGAACCGATGGCAATCAAATTGCAATCTCCTCAAAGTGCCCGTGCAGCACAGCCAGCAGTAACTTCTGGTGGAGGGTTTCTGCATAAAAGAGACAGTGTTAGAAGAGGAAAATAATAAATATATACTTGTTTTCAATCAAAATCCCTGTAATACCTAGAAATAATGTCTCTGCAGTGCCCAAACTGCTTTTGCAAAACAGCAGTGCTTTTGTAAAAAAGCTCCTCCATGAATTAAATCTGTTTCAGAAACATTAAACCTAGCCCCATTACACAAGATCAGGTGGGAATCACAATGCCACAAGAAAACAGGAATTTAGAACTAATGAAAATACATTTTCGGGTGTTACAAAAGACACCATTACTGCTTGGAATGCATTGTGACAATAATATAACTTAGAGCTTAAAATACACAGTCCAGACCAGCCTTTTTAGAAGGATAATAAAAATAAGTCCAAATAGCACAGGATGAAAAGAAAATCTCACAATTGCAGAATTGCAGAAGAGAACTAAAGCTGCTTCATGGGAAAACTGTTACTGAAGGCTGGTACACAGAACTGAACTTTCCAGGGGGCAATTTAGTTCTGGCAGGGCATAAAGGGGTTTCTCACTCCTTTGCATGATCAGTTCTGGACAGATACAGGGCAGCAAATGAGGTGAATCTAACATCTGATTTAGTTGAGCCGTTCCCATTTTACAGCTGCAGTTTATTTGACAAACTATATAGTGTCCACACCTCCTAAAGTGAGACGTGAGTCCTTTAAAACTGATTTGTACCCCAAGAGGGACTTTCAAACCCTCTGTTCCAGTTATTTATAGCAACCATAATAAGTCATTTTAATTGACTGAAGTTCTTTATTCCCACAGGAGAGACTGAAAGTGTGCCTGTGAGTACCCCCGCAACACAGATTTCCCAGGTAAAGATGAGCAAAATGCCCTAAATAACTCCAAGATTTTAAAGAGTTACTAATAGATAGCCAGTAGTTAAAGCTAAATTAAGTGGAAGGAAAAATGTAGGCACTTACATGGAACAGGGCATCTAAAACACACACACTGCATGAACAAATGTCACGCGTATCACATCTCAAGCCTCATCTTAAAAGACACTCCAGTAAAATTTCCCTGCTCACAACCACTTGTGTCTAGACAGGTGATTTGTGCGCTCAGCTAATTAACTAGCTGGCATCATTAGCACCGATTAGAGAATGCCGATTTACTGAGCCGGAGGCAGATTTCATGGCTGAGCTCTGATGAGTTTTCTCCAAACCCACTGAACTGTCCCAGGAGCAAGGATGGGTGATTGCCACAGCATGTGGGGGGGTCTTCCAGGGCAGGAACCAAGTCCCCTGGGGGCTCTGGGTTATCCTGGCAGCCTCACAGCTTCTCAGACCATAGGGTGCTACTGCCCAAAAGTCCAGGGCAGCTCAGCAGGCGCTGAGTCTTGCTGCATGCCTCTGCTTGGGTCCTTAGCCCAGAGCTTGGAAACTCTGCGTTTGGTGATCAGGATTTCCAGGGCTCCATAGCTGCTCTTGGCGTTGTTGTTCTGGCTGCAATTAGCCGCTGCGGATGCGATGAGGTTGCCTGCATCGTGGCTCAGGGAGCACCCTGCCTGGAGGATGCAGGGTCAGTGTCTCCACAGTGATACTTGCTAAGCATGTCCAGGCTGTAGGAAATGTGGTGGTGTTTTGAGCACTTTAAGCCCTGCTCTAGTTCAACCTGGAAGTGTATTCTGATAGAGGAACATGTCCCTGAACTGGAAACCTTGGCTGTTTGAGACCAGCCTCATCAGCACTGTGACACTGCTGCCCCCAGTTGCTCCTAAGTGCACCATGGCAAGTGGCTGCAGTTAGGGGATGCCCCGCGCTGTAACAGAGAAGCTGCTGCTTGCCATGAACAAGGCACTGCTTCTCCTGCCTTATCCCCTTTCCCCATGAGGATAGCTCAAAGGAGATGTGACTGGGCTGCTGCAAAGCCCAGTGCAGTGAGCCTGACATGCATGGAAAGCTTGCAAGCTGCAGGACAAGCGTGCTGGGAAACCTCTCTCTCTAGTGGATACACTCTTAGGGCCAGGCTGCCTGCAGCCATAAATCTGCTGCCTTCCCACTGTGAGGCATTGCAAGTCTCCCTAATGCTTGGCTGTAGCAGTGCTGCCTGTGACAAACATTACAGAGGGCAGCTGTACTGGATATTTGCTGCTCTCTAGTAAGAGAATACCTCACGCAACTCCGAAACATCAGATGTAGACACTGTGGAAAGTGTTGGCTCAGGCCTCAACAATGGTTACTGCTTCCAATTAACCACATTCAGGTGCTGTGCAAAGTGATGGGCAGTGGGTAAGCTGGGAAGTAACACAGACAGTACTCCTTTGTTGCCACAGAAGGTTTTGCTCTCTTCTGGGACATATTTCTAACAGTAGACTTAGTCCTGGGCAGTACTTCTTTATCATGAAACCATTTTCTACTGGTTTTGACAGTCAGCTCAAGGTCCCTGCAAGCAGGCTCAGTGTTAGTGTAAGGACCCTAGGCAACTGCCAAGGGCTGCCTCAAAGACACAGAGCAGAGAACACGTCTATTAGTGCTGGGGGAGATGTGTGGGTACCACTACTAATGAAAGCAAAGGCTCCCTTGCTTCCATGTGGGCGCTCCCAGTGGCAGCTAACGCAGTAAGCCCAGCTCACCAAGGCTTCCTAACATTTTCCATCTGTTTTCCATCTCAGGCCATGCTACCCATAAGCCATTCTCATCTTCTACTCACAATCTTCTTCCCTGGGCTGCCTTTAAGTCTGAACAAAGCTTTATGCAGCAGCAGTAGTCACCATCTTTTTCAGACAGCTCAAATTGCTGGCACCTGCCAAGGGAAGATGGCAAGGCTCTGCAGCTCTGCTGCCTCTGGTCCTGGAAGCAGCATCTATTCCTTCCCCTCTTTGGGGACAGCATGGCAGCTGAGACAGGAGGAGAGGCTCAGCTAAGATCTCACAGGCATTTTTAAGTTCACTCTTCCAAGGTAAAAATGAAAACCATGCTGAGAAATGGTTCTTGTTTGTCCTCTCATCTCACCCTTCTCGTCTCCCCCTAACCACCACCATTTCCTCCACGTGGTTATGGTTCCCCCCTCTATGTGAGAAGTGACTGCTCCCCTTTGGGACTCTACAAAGAGTTCATATTCACCTTGGGTTGGAGATGAAGTGAGTCAGAAGCGACTGCTGCTCATTGTCCTTTGAGTTATGCAAAAACCAGGAGGAGATTCCCTCATTTCCTCATGCACAGCTCCCTTTCAGAGTACAGCACTTGCAGGGTTTTTCCTCACACAGCTGAAGGAAAGGAAGGCAGGTAAAATAGGACTCTTAATTTTTTTGTTGTTTGTTTTGGTTTGGGGTTTTTTTTGGAACAGGCACATGTCAGTTCTTGGGCAGGTTCTAAGGATGCACTGTGACCATGCAGATTCATTTATCCTCTAGGCATCAGGTAGTTCAAATTAACTTGCTAAAGTGTGTTCCTCTTCAACTTTATTTATTCCCATGAATAGCTGGAACCAGGTAACATACTACAGTTAAACTCTTGCCATGTTTCCATGCTAGGATGCTTTAGAAAACTGACCTGGCTTGACTTTCCAAGAGTTCACAACAGACCAGTGAACTCTCTCATTCTGCAAGCATAATCATCTGGGCAAGACAACAGCATGAACATCAGCATGAGCCAATGCTGCACAGCTTCCATTTGTTGTAGCAGCCCATGGGATTGAACGAGCTCAACCTAAAATCCAGTGCTGACGCACTACACTGCAGGAGTTCAAGGGTGTGTTGCTCCTATATTGCTCCACTCAAGCTTGGATGAAACTTGCATGCAATGCTGCAAGACTGTTTATGCTTCCTAGCTATGCCTCAAGCCGTGAAGGCAGCAGAGGAGGGAGTTCTCAGGGTTTCAGGACTTCACGCAAGCTCTGGCAGGTGTGGCTGATCGATATTGCTGCTTCCATCCATCCAATGGCAAAGCAAAATGCAAATGTAAGATGTATTTCTGTATCTGAAATAGCTGTTTGCCAGCCACCTGGGGCCAAGGAAGGATGTCCCTGGCAGGATAGACCCAGAGCAGTGTCCTGCAGGACACAGAAAGGAACCAAGCTAGCAAGGTGACTGGAAAAGCAGAGGTTGACCAACAGTGAGCCCCCAAATAGAAAAGTGACCATTTGCTGAAACACAGGGGATATTTTTGTCCAGTCTGTACTCCAAATCTCTTCTGGCTGCCTGAACTCTGACTTTGCCACACAAGGCCACTGAACTCCCTGCAGTAGTCCTTTTTTTGTTGTTGACTTTGCTGATGCCTAGCAGTTTTTTGTTTTGTTTTGTTTTTTTTACTGACACCTCTAGATGTACACTGACTATCACCCCCTACCCTTTTCAGAGGATCTGTCTAGATCAGCCCCTTTCTTGAAGCATCTGAGGAGGATACAGCCAGGCTTGCAGGCAGAAGCATTTCATTTTGAGCCTATTCTACCCGAATGTAGGTATCTCTAGGGCCAGCTTCCAGACTGCCTCCACTTGGAGGCTGCAAAGTCTCCACCCTGAAGCAGATCTCTAAACCAGACCTGACGAATCACACCTTTTCACTTTGAGGAAAATATACGATGCCTAATCCCGATGCAGGCTAGCAGAGAGACTTTGCCTCGGCAACATAAACTTGATGTTTAAGGGACTGGCAAGCACCTGTGAGCAGGGATGGGAATATTAACATTTTGCACAGCTGCAGTAATTTATGCCCCCTCTGCTTCTCCAGGCACGTACATTAGGATGTTTGATGATGCCAGGGCCATCTGACTCACCTTGCTAGGCGCTGGTAAACGCACGGATACCAGAAGCAGTGTGGTTTGCCTGCCCTAGCAGCCATGGCTCCACGCAGCTCCTCTAACCCTCCAGGCTACACTCACTACTCACAGGGTGACAACCACTGTGACATTCCTGCAGCACAGGAAGGCGTCCACTGTATAGGGGCTGAATCACGGGATCTGGAGCTCCAGCTGGCCTGGGGAGTTAGGGATGACTGCCTGAGGAGGGAAGATGTCCTCTGTCCCCACCTCCAGCCTCTTGTTCTCCCCCCACCCCATCCCAGCTCCTGTCAGTCCCGCTCCTCCTGCCCAGGCAGCTCTGGGAACGTGTAGGGAACTGTGGGGTAGGCACTGGGGTAGGAGTGGGGATGGCAGGCAGACGCCCTCTGTAAAGATGCTGTTGGTGTTGATCAGAGGAGGATGGTGCATGCCATTGCCCCAAGGTATCGGAAGCCATCTCTGCTCCATTTACAGGACTCAAGCGCCTGAGTTCCCCGGGGTGGCTGTCCTCTTACCACCAGTGCTCCAGTTTTGGACTCAGTTTATAACCAGATGTTAGGCCGAATTTCTGTTGTAAAGGTAAAAAAAAAAAAACAAAAAAAAAACAAACACTGGTACCGAAGCACCTTGGGCCGCGACCTTGCCGTGGGCTTTGTGCAGGCAGAACAAGCGCCTTGCTCACAGCAGTGGGGGCAGAGCTCAGGGCTGCTGGCCCAAGGTATCCCTGAAGAGGGCGTCCCCGCTTGGCAAGCTGCCTGTGTCCCCTCACTGCCCACCTCCAAACCTGCCTCGTCTGCTTGCTGTGCCAGCCCGGCTCGCCCCGCTCTGTCTCCTGCTTCGCCCAGCTGTCAACCAGCTGCCTCCAGCTTAGGTTGGGAGCTCTTCCAGCAGCACCAGAGCCTCTAGGGACAGAAAACAGGGAGAGTGGGCACACTGTCCATGCCAGGGGAAACCCCCCCACTCCCTCCCCATCACAAGTTAAGAGCTGTCTCTTTCCCTGGAAAGGGCCCAGTGACAAAGGACAGAGCTTCTCCACAGCCCTCTGAGAGCGAGGAGGTGCTAGACCTATCCGGGGAGAGCACCAGCCCCACAAGCGTATGGGGGAGGAGGTCTTGCTCAAAAACTCTCACATTTTTGACTGCTCAGCTGCTTTTGGCATTGATAATCTGGCTGCTGTTACCGAAAACCTTCTTGGCATGTTTCAGGCTGTCTCCTCCTTCTGGAGACTGACAGGCTGCAACCTACCAGGGGGGCTGGAAAAACTCTGGGTACAAAAAGGGGCACATGGATTGCCCAAGTCAAACGCCTCCTGCCACGTACTGCAGCAGGAGCTGAACCTCCCCCCATGTCTCCCAGCCGTAACAGGAGGAGGAGAAAGAGGACAGCACCTTACAGGAGGGGTTACACCCAGCCTTCATGCCACTCTGAGCCACGGGTGACCCTCGGGGACACAGCCACCTGTGTCTGGGAGGAGGGACTGAGCCCACCGTGTTTGTGGTTCCTCTAGTTGCAGGCATTAGCCTCTGAGTTGAAGGCGGGTTTCACAGAAGCAATGCAGGAGCTGTCGCGAATCCAGCATGGCGAGTACGCCCTGGAGGAGAAGGTCAAGAGCTGCCGCTGTGCCATGGAAGAGAAAGTGGCTGAGATGAAGAACTCCCTCAACACCTTCAAGGTAGGAGCACAGCTGGCAGGGGGCTGCACACCTGCCACATCAGCTCGGGTGGCGTGGAGCTATTCCCTGCCTCCATCAACCCTTCCTGCTCTCAAAGAAAACAAACAGGCAGTTGTTTCAGATGTATCTGCTGCAGTTCCTTTGGCTTTGCATCTTCCCTCCAGAGCCCCAACCCAAGTGTAAAACGTGCCCTGGTGTGTTTAGCCTTCTTGAGGGGCCACCACACAAGTGCTGCCTGCTGCTTTGGGAACAAGAGACCCCTGCTCCGGGCTGCACACACAGTAGGCACACAGCATGTTCACAGGCAGTCGCTGTGCCATACCTCTCCCCAGGTCAGGTCTCCTGCATTTCCTGCAGGAATCAAAGCTGCTGGGGAGCAGGGAATTAATACAAAACCCTAAAGCTTTTGAAGTTGAGTTCCCACACGGCTGGGAGGAAGCGCAGCCTGGTTTGATCTGGCCCAAGGGGATAAAGACAAAGGACTGGGGAGAGAGCCTAGCAAGGGGGCCTGATGTGCACTTTAAACCGGTCAGCATCTCCATGCAGAAACTGGATGGCTGCCTGTGAGGAGGCAGGCAGAGGAACCGTTTTATTGCTTTTATGGTAAGTTTTCCCCATGGGGTTTTGCTGAGTCAATAATACCTTGTGAAGTTAAAGCGGGCTGCTTACCAGGAAAACCTGTTGCTGTCCCTGTGACGGGGAGAGATGGATGGTGCTGAGCAGGAGGAGCCCCGTGGGCCCAGCTGAGCAAGGCAGACAGCAGGAAACGTAAAGGCACGTGGCAGAGGTCTCAAAGCAGCCAGAGGCAGGGTTATCTAGGGCATGGATATGGGGGGAAGAAGGGTTTCAAAATCAAGACACAAGCAACAGGAGTGGCAAAAGCTGATCTCCTTCTGCCTCACATCTACACTGACTGTCTAAACAAACTCCTGGTGAAGCCACCTCCTCGCTCAGGTAAAGTCCCTCTCCTCTGATTTACAGGGACTTCATGCATCAGAGAGCTCTATGTACACACAAGGCTTGGTTGAAACTGCCTGAGGGATGCCAATGGGGAGGATATGCTGACAGTGAGCTACACACACAGCAAGGTTACAGCAGTCATCGTTTCTTTAGAAATCAGGCTAAAAAGGCAGCTTCCAGGCCCTAATTTAACTGTTAGCAGATGAAGCCCTACATCTCCATTTCCTAGCAGTGCCTTAACCACAGGATCTCATGTTCCTGTGATCAAATCAAGCATTGCCACACTGTGCACAGCATGTATTACATACATTAGACTTGAAACAAAAAATCACAGGGACACTTCCCTGCAGCACCCCAAAGCACCTCCAGTCCACACCAGCCACGTGCTCTATAAGGCTGACAGGCACAGTGGGAATGCTTGTGCTTTTGCTTGTTCCTCAGGAGGAGCTCAGCGATGCAAAGTCAATGATTGAAGAAATCAGTGCCAAGCAGGAGGAAATGCAACAGAAAATTGAGCAGCTTCAGCAGGAGAAGAGGCGGGAATCACGGAAAGTGAAAGCTAAGTAAGGGCCTGAACTCCAGGGTTCCAGAAGTGCTAATTAGCAGTGGTGTCTATTCTGCTCATTTCCTTACCACTTCATCTCAGTCTTTTCCTAGCTGGACATATGTATAAATCCTGATTGTTACTGGAAGCTCCAGCCTTTAATTTCTCCCTGGCTTTTAGACACATATACTCCATAGAGCAAATACAGCAGATAAACACCAACACCTCGGTGGGATTCCAGCCTCAACAGCCCCAGCAGCCCGCAGGGAAAGCAGGTCCTGGTGAAACAAACAGACCTGTTAGGGAAGAAATACAACTGTAAGTCAGGAGCCCTCACCATTAAAAGCTATCCCAAAGCCAACCCCATCCAGACAACAGTGTTGCAGCTTCCCCTCCCTTCTCCCTCTGCCGAGCATGCAGGACTCAGCAGTCTCCTGAGCATGCAGCCACCATTTTTCCTGTCACCAGCTTTTTCTGCTCTGAGCAGGCACACACTGGAGCATGTTTGCACACTGCTGGGCCGCACTGTTGCTGTGAGGAGGCAGACTGCTCATCCACCTTGGCCCTGATTAGCCTCCCTCTTGATGATAGATGTACAGCTGCCTTGGTGCAAATACTTGGCTAGCCAAATCTAGGCGAGGCCCTGAGCTAATTAAGCCCTTTAATTGGATAAAATATGCTCTGAAAAAGAGCAGATCTGAAATAACCTTCTCCTATAAGCACTGAAGTTACTTTTATAACATTGTTCATGAACTTCATGTATCAAATCCAATTCCTTTCCTAGTATCTGTTGGAATTGTCCTACTTCTGACTCTGTGCTTGTACTGGTGTCTGCCACAAGTGCAGTAGAAGATTCCTGTTTTCCAGCTGTCCCATTCTTTGTGTTTGTACAGAAGAGCACAAAAGGATGACCACAGCTCACAGACAGTGCCTACACCTCTCCAGGGCAGCCCATTTCGATCCATTAACCTCCCAGAACCTGTGATGATCAACGAAGATTTTACAAGCCTTTTGCACAACGTGACTTATGAAAAAGGTAGGAAAGACAGTAGGCAAGTACAGTGCCTTCCTCAGGAAAAAGAGTCCAGAAAAGGTCAATGGTTTAAGAGGACACCATGTTTTACTAAGGTGTCATCAGCAGGAAGAGAATGGGGGTGCAGCACAGCTCCTGGGTCTGTGCATGTACCTCAGTGTTGTGTCTCAGTAACTCATGGCCTCAGCACTGGCCTGGATTCAGGAGATGCTGCCCTGTGAAAACTGTTCCAAAAGTCATTTCTTGCCTCCTCCAAGGAAAGGGAAGTAGGCTAGAGCTTCTTCCCTGAAATGCTAGTGGCACAAACACCCAGTCAAGTAGAAGCCCCTGACAGAAATGCTACAACCCGTGGAGTTGTTTTCTTGTAAGGGAGCAGAGCATAGAAGGGAGGATCACAGGGACTGGGCTGACAGAACATCTGGTGTCATTAAAGGGACACACCAGTGGCTCATTTGACAAGGGGACATGGGGGCTGGTACATCAGCACACCAGGCTGGTGCTATCACTGCCAGCAAGGACAAGCCAGGACTGCTCAGGCTCCAAGGTCACACAACACTGAGCATAACAGGGACCCCACATTAGCCTGCCTGCAAGTACTACTGAAACAAAGACTGCAGGAAAAGCCACAACAGTAAGGAGTAGCTTCTTCTTCCATGGAGGATTTAACAGGGTGTTCACATACCAAAACCACAAAAGAGTAGAAGATATAACCTTACAGACCAGGTTGGGCAGGAAGAAACCTGCTTTACAGCCATCTTCCCTCGTAACATTTCCCTTTGCTCTTCAACAGTGTCTGACACCAGGATCATGCCGATAGGAGATGGAAGTGTTAAAGTCGTAGCAGGTCCAGGTAGGAAAATCTTGAATTGCTAAAAACCAAACAAAATACAGTAGGACTGACTGATTTAGAGCACTTAATTTACTGCATTAAGAAACGCTTTCAGAGCATGCATTTCACAAGCACGGCTTTCACTTTGCCATGGACCCCCATTATCATACTTGCAGCTGAGATGTAAAGATAAATCCAGAAGCCTGAAGTGCCAAATAACTGATGGACAATGCAACACACATATTCAGCAGGCAAAAACTTTCTCTGCTGCTTCTGCAGTGGCCTTGCAGAAAGGAAAAGTCAAGGCTCACTGATAGGACAAAAAATAACTGAAAGCCATTCTGCCACTTGGGAAAAGATGGTCTTTGCAGTTGCTGCACACCAGTAGAGCTGGTGAGCTGATTATTCACCTGTCAGCTTCCAGATTCCTCATAGACATGCCTGAAGAGTAGCAAAGGAGTTTCTCTGGGAAAAAAAAAAAAAAAAAAAAGGTTAAGAACTTAATGAAGGCCCTAGTAAAGGAACACTAAGGATCCTGGCCAGCAATAGGACACATGAGAACAACTGTCAGATGTTTGCACTGTTCACTTGAAGTTCTGAGAGAAGAGCTGTTCTGGACAGCTCTTTGGCTAGAATCCACTTATAAAAAAAGAACAAAGCTATAGAAGATGGTTCATTGCAACCCAAATTCAAACTTTGCATTAAATTGCACTTAAATTGCATTAAAGCCATTCCAGACCAGTGGCACCACTTCACCCTCTCCTACATTCTCTGTGATTTAATAGCCTCAGTCTATCAGTCCTGCTGCTGCTTACATAATCAGTACGGAAAGCTTTAAGAGCAATGGCAGTTTACATTTATTAAGAGTGGCATTTAAATCTTACTTATATTTTGTATTCCAGAATACCTGTCAATAAATTTGTCATATTAACAAGTCCTTAAGCTTCCCAAAACCCTGAAGCGCAACCATACTTGGAACGTACCTTTTTTCTTTTCTAACTTGTACCTGATTTTGGACCTTATTTGGTCTGAAAATAAGTGATGGAGGAGTGCAAGCCTGGTTCTGCAGAAGTGCTCGCCAACTGCACTTCCATTTATAGCTGTAAATTAACTCTACAAGGCTATAGCACCTGCAAAGCAGGGAGAATGCTTCAAGCTCCCCATTAGATAACCAGGTCATCTACCAGCTGTAGTATAACCTATCAACTAAGATGTCATGACCCATGCAGCTCTTTCCCATTGCAGGACCAACCCTGGAGACAGATGACAGCCTCAAGCCTCCCATGACAACAGATGGCCAGTCAAAGGTGCACCTGCCATCAACAGTATGGAAGCAGCCCAAGGACACCAAGGACTGGGGAGACGAATACATCTCCAAAGAGCAACCAGAAAGAGGGAAAGACATGGGCCAAAGCAGATACAGCTCAGCTGACAACATTATATGCGAACCCTCTTTGGCTGGTAAGGGCAGAGGGGGAAAAAAAGAGGCCAGAGAGGCTCAAAGCTGCACTCACACCTGGTGTGAGCTGGTGATTGCTTTTTACAGATGGAGACAAACAAGCCAGTTATCCCTGCTGGGACAGAATGCTTCAGAGTCTCCAAGATTTCTGGTGTTATTATTTCTGGTGTTATTATTGGTGGCCTGTGCCATCAGAAAATACACAAACATGCTCTGCAGCCAGGACACCCATTCCTCTTTCCAAGACCAGGCAGGTTCAGGGTATTAGTGGGGTTGTGGACACTGTAGCTAGTTACGCGGGTAAAAAATACAACTTCTGTGGGAAACTGGATATGAATCCAGTGGATATGAATGTGGGTTGTTTTGCCTTTGATAGCTTTAATTTTTCCTAAGATATCGGGGAAAAAAGTGTAATTCACAGGGCAGAACACATTCGCTTTGGAGCTTTCTCAGCAAGCAATACAACTTCAGTCATATCTGTTGCACACTGTAGCATGAGGCTAGAATCCTGTATTTGGGGTAAAGCTGACACGGAGACAAGACATTGATCTAATTTTCAGCAGTTTCTGCTTTCATGACTTAGTATCAGTTCACCAGGGAAAACATACTCTAACATGAGGCTGTCCTTGAGGCCAGCATTTCCTCATTTCTCAAACTTAACCATTATCTTCTGGAAGCCAAAAGGCAGAACATCGCTTTGGAGCTGCTGGAGTCAGAAAGGAAATACGTCATCAACCTTTCCCTGATCCTGAAGATCAAGGCCACATTGCAAGGGCCAGATGTGAAGAGGAGCACCAAAGAGAGAAGGTACTTTGTTTCGTGTGCTCTCTCTTCTGGGGATTTTTCTACAGTCTGTTCTGCTTCACCCTCTCTACCACTTTTCTTTCATCCACACAGACCTTTAAACACTTAAAGCTTTTTTCTAGTTGAAAATCAGAGACAGTGGGAGGTTTTTAAACAGCTTTTAAACAGTTCCAGTCAACTACACACCAAACTGGGGAGAAACCTTCAAAACACTGAACAATACTCAATTGGGAGAGGGTACCTGCATGTACACAGCAGCCAAAACGGCCTCCTGATGCAGTCAGGACTCCAACAAAAATAGTTAATAATATCTGTGTGTAAAGCAAGCCTGTGCTGACCATCTGCAAATGCCAACTTCAGCAGTACAGGCTTAAAGGCTGAGCTTCTGCTCCCTGTAACTGGTCTGATACTGTCTCCCTCCAGTTTCTTCCCCAACTCCCTGCGGTACCTGGTCCAGCAGCACGTTGATTTACTTCATGCTCTCCAGGAGCGAGTCCTGAGCTGGCCACGCCAAGGGATCCTAGGAGACATCTTCCTGAAGTTAACAAACGATGAGGTATGTTACAAACCCTTCTAGACTCTTCTGCTACTAATATATGACGTTTTAGCAGAATGACGGCCCACGGACAAGCCAGGATACATTTCAGTAGAAGGGCTGGACTGTGGAGCTGTGGCTAGGGTAATGCCCTTCCAGCCTGCCCAACCCACAGTGGGACCTTTCCTAGAAGGATCATCCTGATCTGATGCGTTATGAGTTTTAAGATTCATATATAAGAGAAAAATTTCTACCTCTTCAGACTCCCTACCCCTCCCACCTGCTACAAAGTTTAATACACTATACTCAACAGCTGAGCCATTCTTTTACTTGTGAGTTAAAACAAAGTCCTGAGTCCTGAAAGCTTTATACAGTTAGCAGTTCTTCTGCACTGATGAGCTCCCAGGAGTGATCGGAGGGGTATCAACAGTTTTTCATTCCAGCTGGCTCTATGACCAAATATTTCTCTTAAGTTTGTTTGTTCTTTCTCCCCCCTTTGCTCTTTCCTCATTTATAAGAACAATTTTCTGGACTACTACGTTGCTTACCTGAGGGACCTGCCAGAATGCATCTCCCTGATCCACGTGGTGATCCTGAAGGAGGTAAACTTCCTGTCCGCTTCACAGACACGTAATGGCACCACTCATGCCTGGCTTTCTTCCTGCTAGGCCTTCCCACGACAAGACTTTTCTGCCAAGCTGGTTGTTCTGTTGCTGAATACCAGTTTCCTGAATGTTGCCATGGCCGACAGGCATTTGCACCTACAAAAAGTAACTTTAACATGTTCACCACTGTGTGTAACCAAAACTGCATTTCTGCTGTGCCATCAAACGGTATTTCAGATAAAACCTCCTAGAAAGCCCAGCTACACACATGCTATCCAGACGTATCCTGAACAAATAGAATGACTCTGGAAAAACAGAGGACCTGTTCAAACAGGGACACCAGATCTGAGGCTGTAGGTGCTAAAGTGCTTCTTTAGAAGAGAGTCTGTACTGTTCAGCTTTAGATATCTGGTCTCATCCTTGATTCGTTTTAAGCTAGGGAAATTAAAAATGTAGTTTTAAAATGCAGTAACTAAATCCCACGAATTTGCTTCCAAGACACCTGAAGAAGTCAATCTCACTTAGTTCAATTCCATTTGGGACTCCACTCTGAGCAACACTGTCTAGTTGGGGTTTCAATGAAACTTGACTAGCACACTTCAAAGACACACCCCTGCTTTATCAGGCTGAGTGCCCCCCACAGATAAACCCCTACTAATTCTGGTAGAAGGATGAAGACCACTCTTGTCACACACAAATGGTGTACTTCTGTGAACTGTTATGATTGCTCATGATAAAGCACTCATTAAAGACCAGAACTATTTGGAAGCAGACATGTCTTATCGGTGGGAGAGACTCTCAAAGTTGCTTTCTCTGTTTCAGGTAGAAGAAGAAATCAAATCTGATCTCTACATTCTGTTCTTCCATATAGTCCAGCGAATCCCTGAATACCTCATTCACCTACAGGTAGGGCCCCAGGATGGAAACTGTCTTGTTGAACCCTCGTGACAAGGCATGACTTAACTCAGAGCCAGTACACAGGCATGTACAGCTCCAGGGCTTCTGGCTAGCTCAGAGGAAAAGCAAGCTGAGAACGACTTCATTTTCACTTTTTTTTTTTTTTAACCTAAGCTTGCTTCTGTTTGCCAGTTCACCCCCTTGTCCTCACAGAACCAACCTCTCCCCTAGGAAACCAAGAGCTCTGTAACTCCTGTAACAGAGCTGGCCTCTTTGCTGAGTGATCCACTTGCCTTTTAGCTTAAAGACTGAGAGGACTAGAGGCTGCTAGGGGTAAACAACTATTCCCATGTAAAGACTGCTTAAAAACAGTTCACAGGAAGGCAATCTGAATTGTACTAAAATATTTCAGACAAGGCAAAAAAATATTATTTATCCAATGCTAAACTCAACCAGTTAGTCACCCACACCTCCCACAATTACATTTATGGCAGTTACTCATGTATTTGCACTGGAATAGTAGGTTGCAGGCCCTGTCCAAGTCCTTCAGAAACTGGTGCTGCCTAGAAAAGCTGCCATAACGCTAAGGGCAGCACCATCCACACTCTGATGTGCTAATCTATGGTCCCAAATAGCACATTCTCCCCAGAAAGGGTTAGGGCACCCTCCAAATTATCTGCTCTCCTCTGTGCCCCAGAATGTCCTGAAGTTCACGGAGCAAGAACATCCCGATTATTACCTGCTGCTGGTGTGTGTGCAGCGCCTCCGGGTTTTCATCTCACACTACAGCCTCCTCTTCCAATGCAACGAAGACCTGCTGATACAGAAGAGGAAAAAGCTGAAGAAGTAAGCGAAACATCAGCTCATTTTCTCAATCACCAGGGAAAGGGAGGTGTGGGGCCAGCCCGGTAACATGGGGTTTAGGTCCCAGGCAAGAGCAACGGGCACCTTGCTCTACTGAAATAAAACAAAGCCCTGTGCACATGAATGTTTAATAAAGCCCACTACTGGCGTTTGTTCTTCAAACTGAGGTTAGATTTGGGCTGGACCCTTCCACCTAACTCTAAGAGTGAAAGGGAATTCAGTTTAATCCTTCTAAACATGGCAGCCACATGTTTCTTCACCGCATTTGATTCCTTAAACTGATGGAAAAGTCATTCCCTAGTGGGAGAATATATTTGGAGATAGCTGCTTCAGCAGCTTGGGGCCCTTGCTGAACACCATGCGTGTGGCCTGAAACCCTGCACAGGCTAACCAAAAGACTGGGAGAGAATAACACTTATTTCACTAAGGGTTGGGGGTAGGGGAAACAAATGCCTCCCATAACCATTGAAGTGAAATGTGGCAGTACAAACCTTGAACGTAGATTCTTCAGTTGTGATTGCAGTTGTGGTTCAGGAGTCTTTGCTGAAACCAGGACTTTAGACTTTACTAAAATCGAAGTCATTGAGGGCATAGCACAGGATTAGGCTTCAAGGGAAGCTTCTCAGCGTGGAGGGTGGTAAAGGGCTGGAGCAGATTGCTGGGGAGGGACTGCTATCAAGAGAAGCATTGAGAATAGGATAGAAAACAGGAATCCTTGCTGACTGGGACAGATCAGGTAGAATAGGTCTTTCTTTGGGGTGGGAAGAGGAACACGGGAGTATTAAGGACTCTCCCAGCCCTGTTTTCTATGATTCTACATGTTCGTGCTCATTCCCTGCCTTATTTCTTAGCACGACGATGGATTTCTCCTCCCTCAGGTCGTCCCTGGTGAAGCTGTACAAAGGACTCACCTCCCAGTGCACAAGCCAAGAGGTTTCTCCAACACCCAGCGCGGCCTCCATCCGGGACAGCGGGATCCACTCAGAAGAGGCAATCCAGTCGTTCCCACCAGCACCTTCCTCTGGCACGCCAACCCCGTAAGCCTATTATCCTAGCAGAAGGCTTTTAAAGTAGCCTTTTAACAGCATTTTGGGGCTGTTCTGCTTTCTTATATTATTTCACACTGACAAGAAGAGTTCGGCTCCATCTTGGAGCGTCCCTCAAGTGGTAGCGTTATTAGATCAAACCTTAGCTTCCTTTTCATCAGACTGCCCAAACCAATCTTCCTCCCCTCTCAGTCACTCCAGGCTGCTGCCTTGGGAGCCTCAGCTGGCTCCTCCCCAGTTTCGCCACATTCATCTCAAACTGGGGACCCAATACAGCTCTGGGTGGGACCTCATCAGCAGAGGTGGGGAAAAAGCAGCTCCCCTGACTCTGCTGGCTTACCTGAACACTTGGAGGGCAGGAATTCTCCAAGTACTCCTGAAACACCCCTGGGGACAGGGTCACCCACCCCAAGAGAGGGATCTCAACCACTTGAAATGAAAATCAGACCACAGAAAAATAAGACACGGTCCCTACATTACAGAAAAAAGAGGAAGTAAAGTAAAAATCCAGAATGCAGTTGAACAAGAGAGACAACCAGCAGTTGGCTTCTCTCTCTGTTTCTGTCCATGTTGTGGTGTAGAGTACAAGAGTGAGCCAAAACTACTGGATAAGCAGTCCTGCCTCTGCAAATTTGATCCTGCCTACCCAGCCAAGCATTTTATTATTTATTTTTTAAATCAGTGGGAACTCTGTTACTCTCCTCCAAGATATGAAAACACTTTGGGGTTATAAAACCAAGAAAATGGGGTGGGGTGGAAGGGGGATGTCTCTGTCATCCTTCAGTATTCCACTTCCTTTTGTTTTGTGTGTGTGTGTGTGTGTGTGTGTATGTGTGTTTGTTTCTTATTTTTAAGGCATTTGATGCCCCAGATGAAGAAACCCCAGCCAACTGTCATGGAGAACATCCAGGCTGTAAAGCCCCCTGACTGGGAAATGGAGAGCAGAAAACATGAGAGGCCAGAGAATATCCTTGCATCCTCTCAGCTCACGGAGCAAGAACTCAAGGCTCTGACAGCTCCCTTACAATCCATCCCAGAAATGGAGTACGAAGCACCACCTGCCGACGCTGTAGGAAACACAGAGAGAGCCATCAGGACCTCTGTGGAGCTGCTGCAGGATGCAAGGAACTTCGCACCAAGCTACGAAGAGTTCGACTACCCTGGAGAGGTGTTCACCCTGCCAGGCCCCTACGAAGACGATGCCTTCCAAAACCTCGCTCTCTTTGAGAATTGCTCCCCAGCCTCCTCCGAGTCCAGCTTAGACATTTGTTTCCTCAGGCCTGTTAACTTCACGTCAGAACCAGAGAGGACAGATCATGCCTTACAGCCGTTGCCTAAGAGCTGTACCCCCGTCAGCAGCAGTACTTACAAGCGCGAGATGTTCCACAGCAAAGGCAAGCAGCTGAGCAGGTCTCTGAAGGAGCTGCCGAGGAGCGCCGAGGGTGTGAGCTCCAGACTCTACAGCACACGGAGCAGCAGTGGGAGCCGGCTACAGCAGAAGCAGGAGAGGAATGTCCAGCCTCACATGATCTCAGCCTCATCCCGAAGCTCCCAAAGGAGCTACTTCCCCCCACAGAGAGGAGCGGGTGAAAAACAGAGCTTTTTGGAAGTAAGGAGGCTTAAATAGGAGGAGAAAAAAAAAAAAAAAAAAGGCACGTGGTGGTGCAGAAGCAGCAACAGCAGCAGGAGAAAGATCTGAGATACAGTTAGGGCAGACCTTGCCAAGCTAGCTTCCAAATCCACACATTCAAAGCCCTCATCTGCATGTACGTGCCCAAGGGAGGGAACAAGACACAGGACAGCTCCTTTTCACACACAACTACCCTGGGGCCAAACACGGGCATGAGGCACACAGCTGGCTGAGTGATAGACAGAGCACCCCTGAGATGAGCTAGCCTCTCATGTACCTCTAGCTGTCACTGAGCTTCCCCCATGAGCAAACATTCTACCTGATTAGGGTCATTAAGTGTGAGCAAACCCATTCAAAATGAGCGCTACAGGGTGGCACCCAGTTAAAAAGGTGCCTTTTTACCTGCTATGAGGAGGTGCTGGGTTAAGAAATCCAAGGGATTTAGTATCAGATTCTCAGCTGGCTCTGCTGAACTCAGCCCATTGACACTAACAAGGATCTGGTCCATGGGTTTTGTTTCGCCTGTGTTTGTTGCGTGGATCATGGAGCCGTGCTAAAGTCTGTGGAAAAAAGGAGAGAGCCCAGCAACGGTGTCCTTCTCCCTCAGACAACCACTGGCATGGCAGGCAGCACTCTGGTCTTTCAGGGACTAGATCTTGCTGTGATAATGTCTCTGTAGTTTGTAGTGCCTGCTCAGTCAGCTTTGGGCTGCCACAGACAGGGGAGAAAGCCCTTAATGAATATCCAGGCCCCACACCCTCCACAGTTCCCCGGGAAGAGGCCAAGGGTGCTGTGAAGTGCTTAAGCTAGCTTCTTCAGTGCTGCCTGGAGAAACACCCTCCTGGTGAAAGGAGGCAAGCTGCAGGGGAGGCTGTAAATGCAGATGAGGATGGGAGGAAAGCTCCAATGGCCTGACTGAAAATGCAGCAGGGAAACCTCCAAAGAGAGGAAAAAGCCCAAGTGAGTGAAGAAGGTGGTAGAACCGGGGCAATGAGGCAGAGAGAGAAGAGGTGTAGGGACAGAGCCCATCCAGAAACAAGAGCCTGTGAGCTGTCTGGCACTCACCTGCACAGAGCTATGGCCCCCAGCAGGGTGTAGATGGGGAGCTAGTCCAAAACTGCAGGACATGCTCTCCCCCACAGAGCAATAGAGACCGCTGTGGCAACTGTGGGCAGAACTGGAGAAAAGGGGCTTGTGCCCAGTGCCATTCTGAGGGGAACTCAGTACTCTCCTGCAAGTGGAAGAGGTCTTTTAGTGGCACATTTACCACAAAATGTATGTGCTACCAAAGCTCCCTGCCCCACCGATATAAAATCAGGGAGCAACAGAGCCAACAGAAGCATCTCTCACACCATAGCAGCTCAGGAAGCCTCCCTCTCCTAGGGTAAAGAGAGCTCACAAGCAAGGAGAGGGTGGGAAGGAGCTGCTCCTTCAACTCTCCATGCTGACTCACTCCCTTGTTGGTAGTAAAAAGGGGCTAGTAAGACCCCCTAACTGAAAATCTTAACAAAGAAGGCTCCAGTTCCCTTTAACAGCGCTTCTTTCTCCACAACTCTGCCAATGCCTCAGCTTCACAGAGCCAGCAACAAGCTCTCTGCAGAGGCCTGAGCGGTGTTGTCTGCCAGCACCTCCTCACCCACCAGGCCCCTCCTAGCACAGAGAGGGAGAAGGAAAAGGGGACAAGGATGTGAGGTTGCAAACACTGGTTAAATTGTCTTTTCCCTTTTAGGAGCTCCATGCAGAAGACAACACCAGGTTCTGCCAGAAGGATGACAATGAGCAAACATCCTTCAGCGACCACAACCCGCGGCACGAGCCCAAGGGGGGTTTCCGGAGCTCCTTCCGCAAGCTCTTCAAAAAGAAATAAGCAGCCCCAAAAAAAAATAAAAGGCAGGCCACAGCCTAAGCGCGGCAGTGCTTCCCCAGGTCCCTGAGGGTGGAGACAGACAGCGAGGCCCCGAGATGTCCCCCGACTAACACAGTAGGCGGAGGGGTGGGGGAGAGGAGACTGTCACGACTGCCTCACAAACGCGTCCTGCTCTTCCTAGCACAGGGGAGGGCCAGGCTATGGGTTGGAGCAGAGCTCAGGCAGCAGGTCCAGAAAGCACAGGAACTTGCTAGCTTTTACCCCTGCCTGACTTAACTTTCCTCAGAGTTTTGGAAAGCTTGAGCCAAATCCCGTTATCTTCTCCTCCCCCTCATCCCTCAACACTGCTTGATTTGCCACACATCTTCGCTCTTCCAAATACAAGCCCGGCCTAATTTGGGCTCACCCGCAACAAAGGGGTTGCATTTGCAGCCTTGGCATCCTGGCCAGAAGTCTGAAATTCCCCTCTTTCCAAAGAAAAACCACCATCAGAGATGTCTTCCAGGAGGCCGGCTCACACTACCCAGTTGGTTTGAGAAGGACTAACAAGCATCAGCTGAAGCACCTGGGCTTTGTACTGCTTCATCAGCATCACCCCTTTTTTTTGGACTTGCATCACTCCCTGAAATCCTCCTCCACCTTTTAATCGATGCACTGTTGTTTCTTGACTTGCCTCCTCCTGTACGAATCTCCGCTCTTGCTGGAGACAGATGACCAGGGCCTGCCACAAGAGACAAAGACTCTCCTCCATTCTACACCCACGGTGGATCGATGCAGACACTGCAGCAGTCAACCAGCTCCCCATACGCAATACATCTTAAATACTCTCTGCTAACTCTCTTTTGACCTGGCACCACCTTACGAGCCCGAGCACACGAAGCACCTTGCTGTGGAGTAGTTCTTCTATAAATAATTGAGGCACCAGGGCAGGAAAGCCAATGGAGCCCCAAGTTCAGAGTTAGAGCATTCCTTCACGCACAAAGACACGCTTCTCCCCACAAAGCCATACACATGCCCTCACCACACCTCGACACGACAAACCCTTGGCAGCACCATTCTTCGTAGAAAACGACAGATTTTGTCTTTTTAGATGATATGGAGAGAAACAAAGCCCTCTGGTGCATTATTCATGCCACACCCCAGCAGCCTGTTGGTACAGGGCTGTGACACAAACTGAATTTTGGACATGAGTAGGGCAGTTTGAAGACTAAACATGGTTTTTACCTGCTCTTTTGGCAGGGTTGTGACACTGGTCTATCATGAAGGACAGTTTCACCTGAAAAGATTGTGAACTGTCTGCATGGGGCCAACAGCAGCCACTGGGGAGAAGGGGTTGCATGGCTGTGAGATTAGGGGCTTGGGACTAACACTACTGCAGGGTGACTGAATCTGGTGCTGAGAAGAGCACCCACCATGCCGTACGGCTCTCCAGACAGCAGCAATGGTGCAGGGAGGGCAGGGAAGAAGTGTCCTTGCCACAGTGGCTCACCCCGAGGCAGATGCAGGGCCTGCAGCTCTCCCATACTGCCAACTGAAAGCATTTGCCATCTGCTTTACCTCCTCTGTTGGAGAAGAGGAGGTGGGTGGGAAAAGGGTTATTCACACCTAAAACAAACAAAATCCATCTTCTATCAAAGTTTTCCCAACATTTCAAGAAAGTGACCAAACTAAAACTTCAGAGACAAAAATGTCACAGACGATGCCTGCCCCATAGATTTTAGTGGACCCAAAATAGCTACCAAAAATCCACCTCTCCTCCTTCTGAGGTGAGGGGGGAAATATATCCTTTGTTTGTTTTGCATCTTTTGGAAACTATCCTGGGAAGATTTATTATTTATGGTTTTTAATGACAAAAAGAATTCCATCTCTCCATTTCTCACATCCTCATTAAATGACAAATTCTCTGGCCCTTCCCAACCGGAGCTACTCCACACTGAACAGCCACTGCCTCACCAACACACCCCTAGAACTTCACAGCTCTCAGTCAGTGCACAGCCAGGAAAGAAATACATAATAAGAGCCAGGTATTTGTAACTGAGCCATCAGCAAAGCCTGTTTGTTCTGCAGAGAAATCAGCCACTGACAGACCTACTTGTTTGTACATGGACCCAGAGTCTTATCAATATGGATGAGTTTCCTTCCCCACATCATCCCTATCCTGTCATGCTGAATTTACTTGCTGAGAAATACTTGGATTTTGAATTTCAGTCCAATGTAATGCACTGATGCCGTCAAGGGCTCTGAGTCTTGTGTCTTTGTGTGTCACACATGACAAGATCTCTGTCCTTCACAGAACAAACTTGCTCCTCACACTTGCCAGACAGATACCAGGGTAGAAACAGCACAAGAAGAAAAACCTACGTGCTAACATCTCCTGGGTGAGGAAATCCTTCTAGAGTGGCAGACCCTTGCTTGTAAAATGCACATGGATTTTAGCTTCTATTTTAGTGATTTAAGGCATGGTCAGAATTGATGGTTATTATTTCTTTCTGATCCTGTATGAGTTCTTACTTCCAGGCCTATATTTATCATTTGAGATATCCTGAGTATTTCCTTGTACCTGCTCAGAACTTGCAAAATGTAAATAAAACAAATGAAAACTGCTCAGCACCACAACAGAAACACAGCCTCTTGCAGGATCTGACCCAACTTCACCTTTAGTATGTGTATGTACTCTGGAATATTTTTCTTCCTGTGCCAAATAAACGTTGCTTTTAAATAATGCTGCTGTCTCTTTTATACTGAATCAGCCGTAAGACTGCATGCATTAAAAGGAGGAACATGTTTCCCAAGGCCCTTTTGGAGGCAACATCATTGACAAAACCCTGTTACACTGAGCACACAATCACGTAAGAAGACTGTTTCCATACACCTTATTTCAAGGCTCTGAACCAGCAATCCGATAAAAAGCTCTTGCTCTCTCTAGACTTCTGCTCAAGATCTGTTCCTGCTGTTGGTGCAGCTCCGTGGGACATTTCTTCAGTGCCACTCTCCACCTCTTCCAGCTGCCACTGCTACAGACATTAGCCTTCACAAAAAATCCCACAAGCTTCCTCCACTAACATACCCAACACTGAAATTTCAACTATCCAACTCTGTAAGAGATCTCAACACATTCCCGTATTAATGACGAATCTGTCATGTATCTTTTTTTTTTTTTTTTGCCAAAATTTAATTCCAGCTCTTGCTTTTGTCACATTCTCAGCAGACCCCAAAACAATGACACCACAAAGGGCAACCTCAGCCCTGGTGCTCATGCCTTCCCTGCAAGCACAAGTAACATCCCTACTACTGCTCCCCGCAGCCTTGGTTTTCATTTACTGACTCTGCTCTTTGAAAGCAAGTTTGGTCTGTTGCTAGATACAAGCTATTAAACATACCGCCCCTTTGTTCAGTATGACCTGATTCAACAAGGAGACAAGACACAGGCTCTTGGACGAAACCGAATAGCTAAAAAAAATCATTCTGCAAAACTGAAGCACCAATATTTATCCACAGACTGCAGATCCTGCGATGCAGTAAGCTGTAACAGAAAGCTGCAGAGCAGGAGTTACACCCACAGCAAATAATCCTACGGCAGAGGACACAGCTAGAAGATGCTGTCACTATCAGGAAGCCATGTTGTGACCCCTACCGCACACACACCTTGCTTTCTACTCCAGCCAGAGCACCTTCTGAGCAGAGGATGCTGTATGTTAGCATTTTACTACCCTAAACAAAACCTACATTTCTAGCAGACTCACAGATGTCCTTAATGTCAAAATACACAGTACTAAGCCTAAGGCAGCCAGTCTCAGACTACCAAGACTTCCAGACTATCTTAAATATTCAAAAGTGTACACTTCTGGGATATGTAAGGCTTTTTTATTATTATTTTTAGAACGTATCTTTTAATGCCAAAACGTAACAACCACTATGAAATTTTTGCTTAAACGCATTCTGAATACCACTGTAGACACAGCATACAAAGATCACCCTACAGACAGGTACACAGGTCACCAGGTGTGCCAAAGGAAGGTTACTGCTTCTCTTTTCTGGACCAACACAGCTTTTAGGATTTAGTCATTTTGGCAAGTAACTGTGCCGTTAAACAAAGGCAAAAGTCCACGTATACTTGAACAAACTTGTCAGAACCTAAAATTTGTTCTTTTCACAACCAAAAAAATGCTCATTCCCCCGTAACTTGAATGAATGTGCCCAAAACAATGCTGACAACATGCACCCCGATCATCTACGTTCCTCTAACCTTGTAAATATTACAGATGTTCTTTTCATAAAAGGCACATTTGGCAGCTACTGAAGTCGTCATGCATCTGGCACATTTCTCCCTCCTTCCAACTTTTCAATCATCTGCCTCATGATTTCACATTTGCGTGCTAGGGAGTCAAAAGAAGTGACTTGCTCTTTCCTTTGTTTGCCCTATAATGCTGCAGCACTACCCGATTCACTGTTTTTTCTTAAAGGCAAAAGAGAAATTTGCTCACAGTTGACAGAAAAATGCACTTAAAGGTGTTGTTTTAACTTTAAAGGAAAAAGGCATGGGATTTACAAACTAAGTTAAAAGCACTTTTGGCTTCACAACTGTATTGGAACACACATTTCTCTCCTTAACAAATATGAGCTAAAACAGTTCCAGCCCCTGCATCACCTGCGTTTTGAAGTTACGACTCAACAACTAAAAAAGGTATTTCATGCCAGGGGGCACCTATAAGACTTGTCAAATATCTTAATATCATCTTAAAACAGCCTTTTTGACTAAACTCCTACTTGTTGTCTGGAAAGACATTAGCATTCAGGAGAAAGTCAAAGAAGGATTTTTATATCCTGCAACTAAATGCACTGCTCACAGCAGCAAAGCATTAACAAGTATTTTGTTTAACTTTCCTGTGATTTTGCAATAGAAATATTCATGAATGAGGGGTTCTTTCTAGTTGAGCTTAAATTGCAGTAATACTGAAAGAGCCAGTAATAGACACTGCCTCAGTAAAATGCCACATTAGCAACTGGACAACAGCCACAAAGAAGTGAAATGATGCCAATTATTACACGCTGGCTTCTCGATACAGACTGCTGAGATGCAAATCTGTGCAAGCACCTCTTCAGGTTGAAAAAAAGCTTCCATGTATATAACAAAACCCTCTCCCAGAAGTACAATAATCTACTGACCTCGGCAGTGGTAACTCCAGTGACATCATTGCATTGGAAGCAAAACCCAACTGAACAGAAAGCCTGACTTCAGATATACGTAAAAAAAATAATTAAACACCCAGCAATTGTCAGTCTAAACCTTTAAGTATTTAAATCCAATGCAATAGCACAGATTTATTCTTACTGAGACCGACCTCTCCCTCCCTGATTTAAGAGGGGCATATTAGAGAAACAGGTTAGAGATGGTTTCTTGACAAGGGAGCACTCACACTTCCATGGTGTGGATCCGTAAGTAGGACAGCGTTCTCTGCTAGCAGATAGTTACAGGAAACCTTAGTCTGAGCTGCTAAATGTCGTGACAGGTACAGGTAGCTTGGGTCACCAGGCAGCAGAGAGCTGACTTTCCATACAGCGTGCCGAATGGAAGTAAACACACCGAGCTTGCAATACTGGCACTTCCAAATTCTCAGAGGGCTTCTCTGGGCTAATACACAACCATGGCATTCACTCTGGAAGAAAATAAACCCAGATGCTGCTGCTCTAGACTACTTATGAAGTATAAACCTTGTGGTGACACAGCACAAATCGTAAAGTACTGCACCTCTGAAGTTTTGCTGACCTCTGTAACTCTTCAAGCACTTCATTTTCCTACTGTGCTGACACATTTTGCTGTTGTTGTATCAGGCACTCGAGAGTTATACAGCAACTCACCCAAGCCAGCTGCTAGCCTCCCCGCAAGCATGTTTCTTCGTCCAGGAGGCCACCTCATCATCCCAGGCCACACCAGAACATCCAGTGTCATTTACCCAGGAGCCAGATACAGCATTGTAAAAATTATTTCATTTCCCATGTGAAAGTATTGTCACTAACACAAACATGGTCCAAATAAAAAGTCATTATGGATTAAATAATCATTAATGCAAATGAAACTGTCATGAGACAAAGCAGGGGCTTAGAAGTTGTACTCAGATCTCCTATCCTAAATGCAACAGTTTTTTTTCCTCATTCCTTCTTGTTTGCAGCTGAGTTGATACCATCATTTGTGCACCGTATGACTGACCTGTTCTGCTGGGCTCCAAAGCACATTTATGCTAGGTTCTTGCACACTGGCCATTATCACCATTATCCAGGTATCCCACCAATAAAGGCATTTTGTCCTCAAGCAGAGATGCAAGACAGCATTCTGCCCATTTGACAAAGGAAAAGAGAGGCCAATTGACATTGAAGAAATGTACTCATTAACAGGATCAATGTGAGATCCTCCCCTTCTAGTGGAGGACTTCACCAACTAATCGTTCCTTTTGCTTGGTCTGCCTTGACTACAGATTTATCAAAAGGGAGAGATATAGTTCAGAAAGTTTGACTTTAAAGAACTTTCCCTGGTAATCCATGGATGAGCCAATAATTTATATGACATTTCCAACAGTAACATTTTCAACATTAATGTTGCTTACATCTGAAGAACCAATAACCTAAATCACGCCTCCTATAGCTTAAGGGTTTTTACCAAGATCCCATTTAAGAACGTTCTCCTCTGAAGCCAAGGTTTAGAGATCTTCATTTTTTTTCTTCTTTGACCAGAAAAACGTTCCAAAGCAAAGTTGTTAAAGACATCAAAGAAAGAACACAACTGACACATTTCAACATTTGACCATGATGAAAACTGCTGTTTTTGTTGACGGAATCGGAACACTTTCTGAAATGTAAAGACCACACAAAAGGATCAAGGTGCACTGCTCAATGGCATTGCAGAAAGCATTAAAAAAGGTAATTTCTATCATCGTTCTACAACACCATCCCTAATGACACAGTTTTCTAAGATGCATTCTGCTTCCAAAGAAGAAATGTGATAGAATTTTACTTTGACCCATGAGCCATATTAACTGTAGGTGAGATACTTCACACTTCACAAACATACCGCAGTGGAGATTATAGAGCTTCTTTTCTTCAAGAACTGGCATGCATTACTGTCAGTATTGTCTAGAATTGAACAGTACACAGGTTTATGGATAATCCATGTCATGATACTTATGCCAGTACATGTTCTCTCAGGTGCATTTCAGACATAGAAAGCTTCTGCAAAGATTAATATAAGTTTGAATTTCCCTAGCAAGTGGCATATAAGAGGTCTGAGAAAATTTTATAATGTGTAATAGTTCACTTTGGGAGTAAGCTAGCTTCTCCAATATTACTAATTATTACTTCAATACACATGCCAAAACCGACTTCTATTTAGACTCTTACAACTCAAGTACATCGACTGAACTAGGAAAAATATGTACCACAACATGTGCTTACCTGAAAAGCTGAGTTGTACATTTGTCCGTGTAATAATTTAACGTATGTCAGCCAAACATATCTGTATCTTTATTTCAATTAAATTAAAAACAATCTGCAAGTATATTTATGCAACATTCACTATATACACATGATTTATGCAACTGCAAGGCAATTCTATGTATGCTGATTAATCTATTGTTAGTAAAACATGACAATAGCTATGGAAGTTGGCCAGTGAGTGCTCCTTTTCACAAGTGACTCTTTTCATGGCATGACTGAAAAAGAATAGCTACT